CTCCCCCTCTCCCCCATGTGTGAGCTCTCTCTCTCAAATAAATAAATTAATTAATTAACTTAAAAAATATTAAGGATTCTTGGGGTGCCTGGGTGGCTCAGTCGGTTAAGTGTCCAACTCGATTTGGGCTCAGATTATGATCTCAGTTTGTAGGATTGAGCCCTGTGTCGGGCTCTGTGTTGATGGTGTGGGGCCTGCTTGGGATTCTCTCTTTCTCGTTGCCTCTCTCTGTCCCTCCCCCACTCATTCTCTCTCTGTCTCAAAATAAATTTAAAAAAAGTCTTTTTCATTTCAGCATATATGAATTTTACTTTGTTCTTTCCAACTGCCATTGTGTAAGTGTATCATAATTCATAATTCATTTAGGTATTGATGTATATTCAGGCTCAAACAAAACCCACAAAACTTCAACTTAAAAAAAATTTTTTTAAAGTTTATTTATTTTGAGAGATAATAAATAAAGTTTATTTATTTTGAGAGATAATAAATCTCTGTCAGGGCAGAGCCCAGTACAGGTCTAGATAGATCCCACGACCCAGTGGTCACAACCGGAGCCAAAATCAAGAGTCAGTCGCTTAACTTACTGAGCCACCCAGGCGCCCCCAAAACTTCAACTTTCATAAACCCTTGCATTAGACTTTTTTGTACTTACTTAAATGCACACGTGTATATCTGTAGGATAGATTCTGGGAGGTTGAATTGCTGGGTCAAAGGGTTATGCATTCAGATAGATTTTGCCAAATTGCCTTTTAAAATTTGAAATAATTTATACTTTCCCAGTAATGCTTCAGAGGAAACTGACCTATATTTAATGTTAACTTTCAAAAGTGCTCACCCTGTTTACTATGTACATGACTATAGTCATGATTTGAATAGAAGCTCTTTTGTGGTTTCCAGCTAGATGTATAGAATGTAGAACTTATGGGCCCTTTTTTTTTTTTTTTTGCCTTTTTTCCTTTTATTTCTAAAACCAACAGAAAATGACAGACTTTAGCTTTTTTTTTTTTTTTAAAAGACAGCGAGAGAGTGGGGGAGGGGCAGAGAATCTTTTTAAGTTTGAGAGAGAAAGGAAGAATGGGGAGGGAGGGAGGGAAGGCAAGCCTGGGGGAGGGGCAGAGGGAGAGAGAACCTCGAGCAGCCTCCACACTCAGCCGGGAGCTCGATGTGGGGCTTCATCCCACAACCCTGGTATCATGACCTGAGCTGAAATCAAGGATTGGACATTAACCTACGGAGCCACCCAGGTGCCCCAACTTTAGCTGATTAATAATATGAAGTTATATAATCCGTTAAAATTCAGATCTATGCAATGGTTATCCAAAGTCTTTCAGAATGTATGAAAGCTGATGCTTTAAAATTAGACATTAAATTAATTTAGATAATACTTCTGTTACCGCTTTAAAATAGATTCCTATCAGCAGTTTTTTTTTTTTAACATTAACTGCTTTCATTGATAGTCTTCAGTAATTTATTGTGTTTCTCATTATAAAAAGCCTGCTGTATATACAGTGTCAGATACTTTTTTTAAGTATTCTCGTTTGCAAGTGACCGAAGACAAACATGTTCACTTACGCACGAGGGAAATGGTTTTGGTTTCCGTAACTGGGAAATCCGAAGGATAGGTTCCACCAAGGACTCAAGAATTGTTAGTACTTACATGTCGCTTCTGCTTTTGTCCATCATCTTTACTCCCTTCTTCCGTGAGGGAAGTAGAGATGACTTAGCCATGGACAGCTCTGGCCTCATTCATGGAGAGAAAGGGCTTCAGAGCACTTCTCATCTGAATATAAAATCCCAAGGAGAGTCTTGCTGGCCTGCCCTGGGTCATATCTCCATGCCATACTGTGACTGGGGCCCCATCACAATCACGGCGTGGGGAAGGGAAATTCTCAAAAGGGAATGATGCCGGGAAAACACTGCTAATGAAAGAAATATGCCAAATTCTGGGCGGCTCGGTAGGTTAAGCGCCCGACATCGATTTAGGTCATCTCACGGTTGGTGGGTTTGAGCCCCACGTCGGACTCTGTGCTGACAGCTCCGAGCCAAGAGCCTGTTGCGGATTGTTGTCTTCCTTTCTCTCTCTGCCCCTCCCCGGCCTGTGCACTCTTACTCTCCCTCTCTCAAAGATAAATAAACTTAAAAGAAAAAAAAAGAGTTGGGTGTTCAGCTGGGGAGATGGAGTAGATGCCATGAAAAGGTAATATAATATGAGGTAACATGGTTCACAGAAGGCTGCATGAATTCAGAAGAGCCTGGGGAGATTAGAATAAGCTTTTGAACGTAATGGTAAATACAGAGTTAAATCTCAAGGTGGTGGTATATTCCACACCAGTTGGTTTCTTTCTCCATAAGTCACTTGGACCCATCTTTTTGTTGTTATTCTCACAGCCAGACTCTGAATCCAGGTCTTTATCTTCTGCTTAATTGCAGACTATGCCCTGTCTCTGGTCTCTTCCTTCTTGTCCTGTTCCTTCTGTTCAGTGAAGCCAGAGAAGTCTTTCTGGAACAGTGTACCCTTGTCCCTGCCCTGCTTAAAAAACCTGGTAACCCTCATCACTGCCAGAATAAAGTACTCTACAGACTCCTAAAGACTCTACATTCTGGTCCCAGAACTGCTTTCCAGCCTTCCTTCTGGAATTCTTTACTTGGATGCTCTTTGACAGTGTTTTGCATAAACAGCTGAGGGAATGCAGAGACTGGGTCTGTAAGCAGTTTTGTCTCTTTTGCGGACTTGTTGTTTCTTCTCTTATTTGAGGGAATCCCTCTAGGTTCAGCCTTCCCTTTTACTCCTCTCTCTCATTTATATTCATACAGATGAAGCCCAGATAATTTCCAGGAGGCACTAAAATGGGCTGGGTTACCCATCATGGCGCTTATTATCACGGTGATTCTGGGATTTAATCGAATCTGTGAAAAGTGCATCTGTGTAGATGGTATCACTTTCGTGAAGTTTGCCGAGATGGAGGCTCACCAACAGTGTCTGGCCCAGGGTGATCCTTTGGACTTTTTTCTGCAGAAAGTAATGGAAACATTTTTATTTGGAAAATCTTTTCAATGAATGGATATTGGGTGTGCATTGGATAAATTAAAATATCTTCACCTTTTATATTCTTTAGCATGCTTTTTTCTCCTGACACCCTACACCCTTTTAGTTATGAGACTAAGCTCAAAGTGAGGAGGTCTCTGGAATGAGGGAGGGGGCAGGCAGTTCAGAGGTTACCAGTAGCCCCAAATCATGGTTGATCGAAGCTAATTGTACAACAGTGAATTAAGGTTAACTTATCTTGTTAAAAATGTTTCTGATACTTAAAAATACTTTTCCTATTCTGTAAACATCATTGGAAGTAATAATAAAAAAATAATATAGGCACAGCTGTTTAGGAGACACTTGTTTCAACAAGTTTTCTTTTTAAAATTTATTTTTAGAACAAGTGCAAGCAGGGAGGAGGGGTGAAGGGAGGGAGGGACAGAGAGAGAGAGAGAGAGAGAGAGAGAGAATATTTTAAGTAGGCTTCATGCTCAGCTTGGAGCCCAATGTGGGGCTCGATCCCACGACCCTGGGATCATGACCTGAACCTAAATGAAGAGTCGGACCCTCAACCGACAGAGCCTCCCAGGTGCCCCTCAACAAGTTTTCTTATTATACAGTAGGGCTTATTAAAATCCCTCATAGATTCATTCAGAAAATTAGATGAGCTCCTATATGCTTGGTACAAACTAAGCTCTCAAATGCGCTGTATATTGATACATTTATATATATACATATATATTCCTGGACATCACATCTCATAACAGGTACCTACAGTTGCTTAACCCACTGCTAAAAAATGCATACAATCTGTGTCTGTTTCCTAGGTGAGCCTCCCTTTTTTCTTCTCTTTTTTACTTCTTCCTTTCTTCTGCCTTTCTGTCTCGGCCCTAACTTTGTGTTGCGCTGTGGAACTCTCCGATACGTGGCTCTCAGGAAGCATTTCTGGCAGAGGAGAAGGGGTGCTATACCAGAGAACTTCCTGTTTGTCGAGAGCCGTTTCTGTATCTCAGCTGACACAGTGTGAGCTCTCTTGTGCCTGTTACCTCACATGGGGATGTTTTTTTCTCATTTATGTTCTTTACAGATCTTTCACGAGCGCACTGTTACTTTTTACTATAGTTACCTGGAAACCACTTACCACCTCTAGATAATTGAGAGGTGATTACAATTAAATTTGTTTTTTTTTTTTTTTTTTACTTCTAGTTTGTGATACAGTGGGAAAACTTTGAGTTCGGATGTTTTTTGACTTAAAAACTAGAGCTGAATCATTGCTTCTTGATCCTGTTTTAACTTGACAGTTAATTAGAAAAATCGGAGTGTGCTTATCTGTTTTTTGAGGTGTATGTCCAGACAGGGAAAAGCTAGAAAACCGTAGTTTGCAGAAATGACGGATTGATTTGTAATTATGCCATTTCTTTATTTGCAGGTAGGCGAAAACCGAGAGTACATCGGCCTCGTTCTCCGATATTGGAAGAAAAAGACATCCCGCCCCTTGAATTTCCCAAGTCCTCTGAGGATTTAATGGTGCCTAATGAGCATATAATGAATGTCATTGCCATTTATGAGGTACTGCGGAACTTTGGCACCGTTTTAAGGTTGTCTCCTTTTCGCTTTGAGGACTTCTGCGCGGCTCTGGTGAGTCAGGAGCAGTGCACGCTTATGGCGGAAATGCACGTCGTGCTCTTGAAAGCGGTTTTGCGCGAAGAGGACACTTCCAATACTACCTTCGGACCTGCTGATCTGAAAGACAGCGTTAATTCCACGCTCTATTTCATCGACGGGATGACGTGGCCGGAGGTGCTGCGGGTGTACTGTGAGAGCGATAAGGAGTACCATCACGTTCTTCCTTACCAAGAAGCAGAGGACTATCCCTATGGACCAGTAGAGAACAAGATCAAAGTTCTGCAGTTCTTAGTCGATCAGTTTCTTACCACCAACATTGCGCGGGAGGAGTTGATGTCTGAAGGGGTGATCCAGTATGACGACCACTGTCGGGTTTGCCACAAACTTGGGGATTTGCTTTGCTGCGAGACGTGCTCGGCTGTGTACCATTTGGAATGTGTGAAGCCGCCTCTCGAGGAGGTGCCGGAGGACGAGTGGCAGTGTGAAGTCTGCGTAGCGCATAAGGTGCCTGGTGTGACCGACTGTGTCGCCGAAATCCAAAAAAACAAACCGTACATTCGACACGAACCTATTGGCTATGACCGAAGTCGAAGGAAATACTGGTTCCTAAACCGGAGACTCATAATGTAAGTGTGACGGTCTTAATTTTTGTGTGTGTTTAAAATCGAGCCAGTTTCCTTCCTGACTGAGAAAACCGAGCTCGGCCGCTGATGGAATATAAACCTTTGTGATCGAATAACGAGTTACGTAGTGAAGTAGTTTCTGACTTGAAGGAATACATACCTTAAAACAGCTTTTTAAGTTGTAGGGAAAGAAGAGTGTACGAAAACATGCAAATTACACACCAGGGTATTAATTGCCTGGGATGGGAGATAGACTGTTACAAGGCAGATGCCACGGGGGGCCCTTCCCTGACTTTATTCCCTGCATCCCTGCAGCCTATCGTGAGGCGATCGCCACCCTTATTTTGGTGTTAGGATTTTCCTCTCGTTTCGGTTTTGCTACATCCATACGTAAAATGGACCGGCAAGAACCAACCAGCCGTCTGAGGAAAGATCGGTTTTGTCATCATTGGCCGTAGTCTCCCAGGAGGAGAGAAGCTCTACAGACTCATGGTCGCAGCCTGACTTCTGCTTTTCTGAGGGTTTTCAAGAGGCTCTTCCAGGCAGGTCAGGGGGAAGGACAGGAGACCGTCTGGGAAAGCAGAGCATTTACCTCGGTCACGTGTCGGGCAGGGTCGGAGTAATGGACTTGGTTTTGACGTCTTGTAGAAATACGATCGGAGGGAGTGGGCTGCTTTGTATTTTCAGCTTCTGAAGTCTTCACAGCCTTCTTGCAGCTCTCAGAATTAGGTCAGATCTCATAAAACCAGTGGTGGGCTGAAAGGAACATCGAGCAGGGCTTGGAGAAGATAAGCAGGAACTTCCTCGGCGCCTGGGCAAGCCTCGCCAGGTAGAGGGAAGCGTCTCAGCCAGGCCCCCCCTTCACTTACGGAGATGGTCCAGAGTAAACAGGTCCTCAGTTCTGTGCAGTCGTCGTCTTGCAGTGTTGCTGTTGAGAAATCTGAATCTGTTCGTTGATTCTTTGTGTTGGACCTGTCGGGACTTACCTGGAAGCTTAGAATCTTCTCTTTGCTTGTAGCGTTTTGCAGTTTTAGAGTGATATGGCCTCGTCTGAGTCTTTTTTTTTATCCGCCGGGTGTTTGGTGGGCACTTTCAAATCTGGCAGTTGAGTCCTTCGGTTGAGAACTTGTCTTGAGAACTTCCTCCTCTCCTTTTCCCTGTTGTATTTATCTTGTGCTATTATTTTGTTGAACACTGGTCTTCCTGTTTTGGTCTTCTGATTTTCTTACCTTTTTCCTCCAGTTGTCCTCTTTGTCT